GGCTCTGTCTCAAAAAAAAAAAAAAAAAAATAAGGGACCTAGACTTAACATAGGAATGACAAATGTGGTTTCTTGGACCAATGTTAAGCTACTTAAAAACATCACCCAGAGAGTACTCCCAATTCCCATCAATTCTCTAGATGACTCTGATACGCAGCCAGGCTTGGAACCTGTGGACCAGATGGCTCTGATTCCTTCTAGCCCTGCCTGTCTAGTAGAGCTCCAGCTGCCAGCCAGGTACTGCCAGCCACATCTGGGCATGGCAACAGGGACCTTGGCTTCAGGGCTGCTACAGAAAGAAGTGGCTTATTGAAGACAGGACCAGGACTGGGCCACTTTCTTCAGGGTCCCTTCCTCCCTCTTTGCTTGTCTTTCCTAAGCTTCTCTTATATCCTTAGAGAAACACATTCAGTCTCCTGAGGCCCCACAAGTATAGCTGATAAAGAATCTCCTTGTGTAGGTATAGAAATTAAGGCCCAGAGAGAAGAAGAAATGTGCCCAAGGTCACTCTGCCAGTTAGAGGCATGATCAGGTTGGAACCCTCACCTCCCAATGCCTCGTACTGTGTCTTCCTCACTGCCGATAATTCAGGGGTCCCTCTCCTCAGCCCCTAGTCTCTCTCGCCTTCTTCCTTCCCCGATGCTAGGTTCTTCTACATCAGTGGTTCTCAACTGTATTAAAGGGCCATGGCATTAGGAAGGTTAAGAACCACTGTTGTACACCATTCTCAACTAGGGAGCAGGAAGTAGTCTGCCCCTTTAGAGAAATTCCAGTTGGACTTTGCTCTGTAGGTGAGAAGGACTTAAAATGCTTAAGAATTATCCCCTGTGGAAAGGCTAGCCAAGTACTCCAAGCCCAGCCAGTGCCAGCCTCTGTTCCATACCAAACTCTGCAACTCAGAGACTCTGCCCAGCTGGGGCCCATTATCCCTCGGGTTCCTAGGTGCAGCTGGTGCCTGCCCTAGGGAGTTGTATGCTCAGGTGCAATCAGTGCATCAGTGCTTGACGGACTGGTCAGCTTCAGCTGGGGTTCCAAAAGGGACACAATTGGTCTGATCGGGCTGGGGAGTGGCTAAGGCTGGGTGAGGTGCTCTGCGGTTGGCCTGGGCCTGGGCCTGCCTCACCTATCTTGAACCTCAGGACTTCACACTGTCAGTCTGGGCATGTTGCCCCAGCCCCCATGTATAGTTCTATCCATGAGTTGCCTCCTTCAGTCCCATCTAATTGTTTTTAATAAGTAAGCACTCAAGCTGGAAAAATTGCCCTGCTTCCTGTCCAGGAATAGTTCTACTGTACATCCCGTGCCATTATAGAATAACTGCCGTCCCTAGGAATCCCTGCCCTCATCCTTCCTCTTTCATTCCTGCCCCAGGAAAAGCTTCCCTGTATAATAACAGCAGCAAACACCAATATGATGCTTAGTTCATGCCACACATATATATCTCTGGTCAATACTATCCAGTAGGCACTACTGGCTGTATTTTCTAAAGGCACAGAGACAGCAAGTAACATACCCGAGGGTAACACAGCTAGTGAGCAGCAAAGCCAGGGTCCGAAGTTGGGGAGTCAAGTTACAAAGCACATACTTTTAAATAGTTCCACTTAGATTATTCTCATGAAGCTACCAGGCAAACAGTTACTCACGGCTTGATCTGCTCCTTATCTGCATGCAGGGCGCTCATGTACAATCGGGCAGGTTGTTCTGGGCATAAAGGAGCTTGGACAAGGAGGGGAGTGGAGACTGAAGTCATGCTGTACTGGCCAAGCTGATGGGGGCTGGGTCTACCTAGAGAGGGGGTCTTTTTTCTAATTCTGGGCCCAGCCAAGTATCCTCAGGAATCCCACAGAGGGCACATTTTCCTAATTTGTATCAAGCTGACTTAGGGGCTAGCAGAGTTCAGCTCTGTGTTTGTGGGTCCAGCCTCCCCTGTGAGACTTGGAGCTCTCCTAAAGCAGGCTATGCCTTAACCCTTCCTGAGTTGTGATATTTCAGAGGAAACAGACTGTCCAACCTCCACCCTCAAGCACAGAACCACCTTTGGTCCTTCCCACCCAGAGCTGGCTCCCAATGTAAAAAGGATGCTTTTTACATAGGCCAAATACAGTCATGCATCACTTGATGACAAGGATAATTCTGAGAAATGTGTCACCAGGAAATTTCACTGTGGTGTGAGCATCACAGTGTGTGCTCACTTAGGCAGACCTGGATGGTGCAGCCTACTGCTCTAGGCCTACAAAGCTGTGCAGCAGCTACTATACTGAATGCTGTAGGTGACTGGAACACAGTGTTAAGCATTTATGCACCTAAGCATATCTAAATGTAGAAAAGGTACAGTAAGAATATGGGAGTATATTCCCAGGGACCACCAATCATATGTATGTGTGTATGTGAGATCTGTCTTTGACTGAAAGGTTGCTACACAGCGCATGACTGTAGTAATGCCTTTCTCACCTGCAAACTCATTGAAATGGTTGCCAATGTCATAAGCTTGGTAGTTGTAGCCGGCGTATTCATAGTCAATGAACCGTACATGACCTGTGAGGTAGAGGAGAGGCAATGAGGGTTGGCCCAGGAGCTCTGGAAATAGTGCTTGGTCAAGTTTCTACAGACCTCTCAATGCCCCATGGACTATTGCTGGGCCTCTCCAGCCTAACCCAAATGCTGCAACAGTCTCCTAAGCTACCTCCTTCTATCCGCCATCTGTCCCTCTCCCACACTGGACCTTCAGGCTCTCCCCATCCAAACACATCTGTCCTCAGCACGGCGAAGGATCAGAAAGAAAGCCAAGTGCTCCCTAGGGTGATGTTCTCACAAGGAACACAAGGCGTCTCTCTCTAAAGGTTTGGGGAGCCATGCTGTCTTCAGAAGCCCAAAGAGTTGTCAGGAGGAATGGCTTGAGTGCTCTAATGCTGAGAGCTGGCCATAGACCATTATTTTAGTTCTTTCTTGGCAAAAATTTTTCTAAATGGGAGTCTGTTTCCTTATCCCCCTTTTCTCCAGCAAATTCACTTAAGATCTAAACCAGGAGTCCTCAAACTACGGTCCGCAGGCCACATATAGCCTGCCTAGGACATTTATCTGGCCCACCGGGTGCTTTTGCCACTGCTGCCTGTCCTGCTTAGCAGCCAACTCGTCCTGGGGCCCGCAGTCTGGTCCTCCAACGGTCTGAGGGGTAGTGCACTGGCCTCCTGTTTAAAAAGTCTGAGGACCCCTGATCTAAACCCAGGTCTCCTTGTTTTTGCCCAGGTGCCAACCCAAGGAGAAGGCCCTTGCCACCAGCTGACCAACCGCCCAAACCCTGCTGCCGCGTGGCTGGGGCCAGACCCGCTGTACCTTTGGTGCTGTCATAGATGATATTCTTGCAGAGTAGGTCGTTGTGACAAAACACCACAGGAGAGTCCAGCTGGGACAGATGCTCCTTCAGCCAGGCCAGCTCCCATTCCAACACCTCCACCTTAGGGACATCTGCAGAAAGGCTAGGCAGTGACAAGAAAGGTGGCTGGTGGAGGGAGGGCTGAGGGTAGATGGGCAAGGGCTTGTCCTCAAGAACCCTGAGTTTGAGTCTAACCACGCCCTCCCTCTTACTGTGGAGGAAGCTTGGACAGATGGCCAACCTTTTAGACCTTTTTTCATCCTCTGTAAAATGAGTGTAAGTAAGATTTCCTGGTCTTTCTGACTCCTGTGGTTATGCTAAGAAGCTGATTAAAACATGAGCATAAAAGCATTTGGCAGAGCATAAAAGTCATTGACCGACAGCATCCCTGCTGCTTTGTGAAAGGGATAAGAAGAAGGAAGGAAGGAGACAGGGAAAGGGCAGGGAGGCGAGAACAAGTGTCCACTCAGAGAGCCCAGACAGAGAGAAAAAAGGCGACAGGAGAGGAGGGGTGAGATGCGAACCAGACCTGATCTCAGGACATTAGGGAAACCCCTAGGAGAAGGCGTGGTGGAGACTCCCTTACGTTCCTTCCGTGGGGTAACAGTGCCCTGGAAGGCAGCTGGAACAAGGGAGCTCTCTTAGGGAGGCAGAGGTATGCCCCAGTAGGTCTCCCTCACAGCCGGGAGGCTGACAGTGTCACAGGTGGAAGGGACCAGAGAGGTTTGGTCTTACCTCTGATCTCACAAACAGACTACTTGGGCCCATTTAAGAAAGTGAACAAAGTGCTTCTGGCACTCACTCCCACAATGTCCTGGGAACACTGAGGCCTTTTCCTATGTGAGCCCATGCTCTGTTGCTACCCCAATGGCCCATCTTCTCTACCCCGAATCACGAGTATGTGTTCCCTTACCTCAGTCCCCACCACACCATGCACGGGCAACTTAAGGGCAAGAACAGAGAAGCGTCAAACTCACCCTTCCTTCTGCCCTACCCCATGCACACAGCAGCCAATTTTGCTGAAAGAAATAAGTGTTGAGTAATGAATAAATCGGTCAATTAATGACGTTATCAGAGGCCATGTGGAGGTCTGATGAGGCAACACTGAGCTCAGATGCTCTGAACTTTGGTCCCCAGGATGCAGACAGGTCTGTGTACACTGAAAAGACCAAACAGTTCACAGAATCCTTAAAAACCCCAAACCAGCAGTGGGTAGAGGGGAGGAGGCTGGAGTTTTATCTCCATCCATGTGTCTCCTGTTTATATTTCTATGTCCAGGGCGGCAGCAAGAGCATGTGAAGGAAGATGAGAATGAGATATGCCAGTCACCCCTCACCCAGCCTAGAGGCCAGAACTCAGGGGAGTGACTCGGGCACCCACACATCCACTAGGGAAAGGGAAGAGAAGGCAGGCCCCATTCTAGGCTTTGAGACGGTCAAAGCAAAAGAGGATCTTAGGTCATCTTCAGTTGCCACTATGAAGAAACTGAGACTCGAGGAAGACGAGAGGCTTCTTTCCAGCCTTCAGGTATCTCTGGCACAGCTCTCCCTCCTCACATCAGGACAGCAGTCCTCAGCCTGTCCAAGGATCCAAACTCAAGTTGAGTCTCCCAACCGTGAAGGCACTGCCCTATCCCTGAAGGCCCGGGTGTGCCTTGGAGGCTCTGCAAAGGCCTCTCTGAGTCTAGGGTGTCACTGGGAGGGGTGACATTGGCAAGGTGTCCCCTCATCTTTCCTGGAGTTTATCTGTGTTGGCAGATCTGCATAAACTGTGTTTTAATCCTGGCTCTTCTTAAAAAGCTACCTTTCCTTTTAGATTTGTTTTTTTTTTTGGACGGAGACCACCAAAAGATAAGGATTACGAGGCTTCCTTCAGTTTGCCCAGGTCCCAGCCTGAAAAACATTTTTGACATCTAAGATGCCTGCAGCTCAGTCCCTGACCTCCTCCTGACCCCCACCCCAGCCCACTCCAAGGCCACGCAGATGGTTACTGTGGGAACAATCCAGGCCTTCTATCTCCCTGGAGGCCTCCCTCAGCAGCGCTGCGCCCCTCCCCTGAACACTTGAAACACTGCCAGCTCCACTACCTGCTGCTGCTAGACTCTGTCAAGGCTGTGGGACTGGGAGAAGTAACCACCACACCATCCCACAAACACCACCCAGGAAGAGCGGTTCCTCTGCCCTCGGTGATAGCAGGAGGGGGATAAAGGCACCGCGGCTTCCTCAGGAAGCCTGGAGGTTCCCCCAGATAAAGGCGCTGCTGCCTGGCAAGTCTCAGCTCTGCTCTCAGAAGGTGGGCAGGACACAAGCATCCTCTCCCCAGGGGGCCTGCTACACCTTTGCTTTCCCACCCACCTCATCAATACCTCTTCCTTTTTTTTTTTTTTTTTTTTGAGACAGTCTCACTTTGTCACCCTCTGTAGAGTGCTCTGGGATCATATATCACAGCAAACTAACTCATGGGATCAAGTGATTCTCTTGCCTCAGCCTCCTATGTAGCTGGGACTATAGGTGCCTGCCACAACACCTGGCTAATTTTAGAGATGGGGTCTTGCTCTGGCTTAGGCTGGTCTCGAACTCCTGAGCTCAAGCAATCCACCCATCTCAGCCTCCCAGAGTGCTAGGATTACAGGCATGAGCCACTACGCCTGGTCTCAATATCTCTGCTTGACGCCCAGAACCAGTTATCAGCATCACATCCTCCCAGCCACCCTGGATACACTGCCACGTCCAGCCAAACACCGAGGTTACCAAATCTACGTCTACAAGTCTCTGACACTTCCTTCTATTCTCATCTCCTGCCACCCACCCCCAAAGTGCTCCAGGGCTATGTTCCTCAAAATATGGTTCCTCGATCACCTGTCTCAGAATCACCAGGGGAATCTATCACAGTGCAGTTCCTGGAGTCTAATGAAAGACCTCTCAATCACTAAGGTTGGAGGGAATTGTATGCTTAAAGTTTGGGAAAAAACTTTAGGACTAAGCCCCAAGTCTGTTTCTTACCAGGTAGAGAGCTTTCTACCTAAGCCCCAGTCCTGCTCAGGTTGCTGACCTGCATCTCTGGCTCAAACACCTTCACATCTTCCTGCTGCCCGCTGACTTAAATCTTGGCCCCTTGGCCTGGCATCACCTCATCACCTAGCCTCAGCCCTGCAGCCCCACTCTTGCTTGCACAAGTCCTCTAAGGTCCTCCCAATGATCCATTCCAGCCACCCTCATCCACTCATCATCCGTGAGCAAACCCTGCTCAAGGCATCCTCTCTAACCGGAGCAGCCTCCCTTCTCATCTCTGCCAGGCCACCTCTGCACGGAGGCTTTCACCGTTCTCCCACCCCCAGCATACATTACACACCCTGCCTTTCTTTGAAGCTATGCGTGAGCATGTTCTATTTATCCAAATGGCTCCTAAGCTCCTCGAGGGCCGGGCCAATGTCACACTCATGCTTTTTTATTGTTTTAATTCCCAGTCAATCAATGTCTGCGAAATGAAAGACTGAATAAATCAGGGTTATTAGGCAATGACTGGAGCTCAAGGTGCTTTATCTCATTTAAATGACTGCTCACCATTGTCCTGCTTTGGGGCAGGTTAGACAGTTTGGGTGAGGGATCATTCCCAAAAGAGGTGCAGAGAAGTTAAGCAACTTGATTTCCCAAGGTCAGAGGTATGACAAGGCAAAGAGAATTGGCCATCTCTCCTCTCATGACCACTCCCCTCTCAACAAGTTTATCTCACAAGGTCACACAGTGACAGCACAGTCAAAGGAAGCTGCAAAGGCAAGGATCATGTCTGAATACCAGTAGGCCTAGATTCTAGTCCCTGAGCTGCTACTAATCAGCAATGACCTTGGGTAAATCTCATCCCCTCTCTGGGCCTCAGTTATTCCATCTGTCAAAGGAAAGCAGTAAGCTGAAAGACTGGAGGGACCTGTTATCCCTAGCTCTGAGGGAGAAAGCAGTCCTTGCTCCATATAGACTGTTTGACACAAAAGGTCTGAACATGGTCAAAGAGAGAGCAAGGCTTAAGCCACTCCAGACAAACTGTCCCAAAACAGTGCTTGATAATCATTACATGGGAGCAGCCAGATAAAGTCATGCACATATGTGATGGAGACACACTCACAATCAGCAGTTAGTTAATCATTATCTTGTCATCTTACAGGAGGGAAGGAGATACCCTTCCCCCAAACCTCTTCTGCACCCTGCTCCCATGAACATTTGGAAGAAAGGTGATGTTCAACTCCAGCAGGGAGCAAGGAGCAGATCAGATTCTCATTATTGCCTTGAGGTTGTTTGGGGAGTGGGGAGAGGATAGTAGGAGAGATACCATCGTTTTCTCAATGCCTCCATCCTTTTCTTAGTACTCAAAGGCGTGCTGGGGAGTTAAGTATCTGAAGGCTATCAGGACTCTCAAGTTGATGGTTAGAGTGCTTAAGAAAAAGTTCAGGGAAGCCTGTCTATCTGGGCAAGGGCAATGTTGGGATGGGTAGGGTACCTCTTTCCTTGGAAAGAACAGTGAAGGAAACAGCAAGCTGTTAGTAAGAACAAGGTTGGGGGCAGGGTCCCCAAAGGCATATGAGGACAGAAGGAGTCTAGCTAAGGCCCAAGGGCTTGTTGGTCCATGAGTTGAGTTACTGACTCTGAGCCCTGCTTATCTGTTCAGAAGGCAGCTCAGGTGGAAAGAGCCCTGAGCTGGGAAGCAGAAGCCCTGCCTCTCTCTAGCCTTGTGATATTGGGCAAAGCTCAGCCTCTGAGCCTGAGTATCCTGTAAGTAAAATGGGAAAATGTTACTCTGACCTCAGTCCCTGCCAGTCAGGAGACTCAAGGAAGAATAAGTGCATTGGTATAAAACTGCTGATTAAGTTCTTGAGATTTAGCCCATTAGTCCAACACCTAGGACTGTAGGGGCTGTAGGAGAGACTGCACAGCCCCTCCCCGGGGACCTGGGCCCTCACACATCCTGTCAGGGTGGGCTGGAGCCACAGAACGGGCAGGGGAGATACTGAGGCAGTACACACAGTGGTAGCCTTGCGCCTTCCCAGATCTTTGTACCTGGGGTTGATCTCGTTCTTCACAAGCGTGAAATAATTGTGCATCTTGTGCCAGAGGGTGGGCTTGGGCAGGCTGCCGTTGGCGTGGATACTATGAATCTTTGCCATTTCTAAGGCGATTAACCTACAGCAGAGAACAGGAAGAGTGGAAAGTATCAGTGCGGGGCATGCCCTCCCCACTCAGCCCCTCATGACCAGAAAAGGGCCCTACAGGCAGGGTCCATCAGGGCACTAGCCAGAGGACCAAAGGTAGGATTATTACAAGTCTCTTAGGAGCCACGTTCTGTAGGAGGAAGGTCTCAGGAGAAGGTGTGAGCATGAAATAAGACCTTTAGCCTAGCGGTTCCCTTTCCAGTACCAGGCTGGGGCTGCTTCAAGGAATGGAAGGGCAAAGCAGTGGGCTTTGGCCACTGGTCAAGAGCCTTGTACCCACGCCAGTACACCCACAGCAACTCCTGACAGCAGAGGGGCATCTGGGGATGGGGGTGGGCCCTCCTCCTCCCACTCTCTCCCCTGGACTCTGACCCATCCTCTCAGGGAGGTAAACACAGGTCACTTCCCACTAAGAACTCAGGGGGTGGTGATGCCGGGCAGGGAAGAAATGCCTGCCTCTTATCAGCCTGGCCAAGGTGGGAAGGGAAACGGGCTGGCCCAGGGCAGCCCCCTCCTCTGCTACAGGGAGTTGATGCTGGTGGCTAGGTGCCAAGGACGCAAAACAAACCAGTGTTCTATTTTCAAGTTCTCCCGTGGACATTATCCAAGGTCCCAGGAGAGAAGGAGTGGGCGGGCAGTAGGGAAGGTTGCTGGGAGAGGGTGGGGGTAAACGGAGGACTGACTGGTCAAAGAGGGAGGGCCTTGATAAGGAACCATCGCCTGAGGCCCATGTCCCAGCTAGGCTCTCCCAGTCCTCTGCCACCCCCTCTTCTACAGTCCCACCCCCAAGTGTCTGCCAAACCTCCAACATTCAAGTTTCCTTTGCCTCTGCCTGTTGCTCGGTAAATAATCACTGAGAAAGACAACAAAGGCATAGGCTATTGGAAACCTTGTTACCGGCTGTTCCAGGGACACCCTTTCCCCCTGCTAGGCACTGGGAAGGGGCAGGCCATACCCTATTGGGATAAGAAGGCAGTTTCTGGGCTCTTCCAGAAGCTTCCAAGGCTCCCACTTCCTAAAGGTGGAGGGGGCAGGAGGTGTAGCAGCAACCACTTGGGTGAGAGAGGGAGGCTGTGCTATCAGAGGCCAGAGGCCCTGAGGGGCCAGCCAGGATTAGGGCAAGGCAGGGAAACAGACCTGAGACCCAGGCCTTCCCTTCCTAAAGGAAGATTCAGAACAGAGCATGAACAGAGTGTTTCCTTGAATATCAATAGGGCTGTTGTCTGGAATCGCAATGAAAGTAACCTCAACACTCAGCATTTTTATGCTGCAAAGCCTCAGCAGGCAGAGGTGGGGGGGGTGGGGTTCAGAGGAACATGGGGAGGGAGGACTCTGAACCCTTCCCCTCAGACATCCACCTTCACCCAAGATGGTCTATCCTGGGAAAATCATCAAAGAAGGGCATACCTCCTACACCTATCCTGATTTCTGGCTCTCCCCCAAATGCCAAGTTGTCCTTCTTATGGAACCTAAATCCATCTCTAATCTTCCTGACAATGGTAATTGTTTGCATGAGAGGATGAGTGACAGCATCAGAATCATAGAGGTGGAGGGAGCTCAGGAGTGGTGAGGACCTGCCAATATTGGAGCTTATTTGTACGAGGTTGAGGAATAGCTGGGAGAAGCCTGGCCAGGGTCCCCCACACTATGCTCTGACCTCACATCTCCAGACTGGGCCTACTCCCTTGAGCCACAGGAGCTGCCCCAGACTGGGCCTACTCAGCTGGAGCCCAAGAAGACCCCTACACAGGCTGGTTTGTCTCTCACTTTCCCCTGAGACACACACACACAAAGTTACAATATACAACTCAAATATCCTAAGGTCCTGACCAGCCCCAGAGGCAGCACTCAGGAGTATGGGAATGGAGGGTCTCTCACATTTCCTCCTTTTAAGTCCCTGGGATGTAGGAGGTTCTGAAGTGGAGCCACTTGGGGCTAAGTGGGTGGCGAGTGAAGGAGAGAAGCAGCTTCTTGGTCTACCCCAGGTGGGTTTCATAGTTTCAGTACAGGAAGTCTCCTTTCCCTTGGATTGGACAGGGCAGATGCCAAAGGTCCTAGGCAGACACCTGTGATGCTATCCCCAGTGTCAGGAGCAAGCCTCAGCCTGCCTGGGGCCTCATTCTAGTCTAAGTATCCCCACGTGGGTCATTGGAGGGAAGGAGGATACTGCCTGCCAACCCTGTCCTGACCTAGTCCAGGGGAGAGAGTGTATACACCAGTGACCTTTCTTTGGTTCTCCCCTTCCAGGCTTCTCAATGGCATCCACAGGGCTTGAAGGAAAAGTCCAGTTTCTGGGCCCTATACATCCAAGCATCCACTGGGAAGGGCTCCCTACAAGTCATGAGTTATCGTGAGTCGCTGGAAGGAGGCCTTGGCAGCTCCTCAAACTGGGTTCCCTCCTTGTTAAGGAGCCCAGAAGGAAATCAGACTGGCAGGAAAGATTGCATCCCTCTGGACAGTAAAACCACCCTCAACTTGGATAGGGCCAATTTTCCTTGCACACCTGAGCTCTTGGCAGTAAATGAGGAGAGGGAGGAAACTCTAAATGCCCAGGGGATTTGGCCAAGACATTGTTTCCAAGTCTCTGAGATGCTTCCAGGTCAGACTTGGGGTGGAAAGAAGTTTGAGACATGGGGCTAGAAAGCATCCTGCTTTTAGGGAATCAGTTCCTTTGGTCCCATGTTCATCAATCCTCACCAACAACTCATCCTTCTAACAAGCCCACTGAAAATCCATAGAAAGTAATAGCCTCTCTCTGCAGAGCAATACACGCCCATTTTTCATGCAGTCTCAGAGAACTCACAGATCTTACGACTATTCTCCCAAAACCCCACTCTACACCAAAGAAGCTGACCAAAGATTTAAATGCCAAAGACAGAAGAAGAGTAGAAATGAAGGCTTTGGCACTCTCCTCACCTGAAGAGCCGGGGCTCACGAATATGCTCGGGTCCCAGGGCCACACCCTGCAGGTACTCGTAGCACAGCCCGTTCTGGAAGGTGCAGTAGAGTTTAGGGGCACAGCCATGTGCTCGCAGCAGCTGGAAGTTCCTGACCTCATTCTCTCGGTCCACCAACAGCTCTGTCCGCTCCCCATACACACGGACCAGCACGCAGTCCCGCATGTCCTCTTCCACGTAGCAGGCCACCAGCTTGTTGGTGATGCCATCAGTGAAGCGCTAGCATTGGGAGAGGGCAGTGCACAGGTGGGTGGAGCAGAATCTCTCTGGTCTCTCCCCAGGGATCCCAACAGGTGCTCATTTGAATGCTGAGCACACCCACACTGAACCCCTAGTCCTTTAGCCCTGTCACTCATCCTCTACCCTATCACCAACCTTGGGGGTCTCCAGCCTATAAAGAAAAAATGGTAGCTTGAACTGCTCCCATCACACTCGCTTCTCCTGGGTCGGCCTCTAGTGGATGGGATTTGGCAGTGGAAGAATTTCCACACTACTTGGTGGGTTGGAACCCCCTCCATTCTCTGCTCCTCCATCCCAGCCCTGAAAGACACCCCATGGGCCAGAATGTGGCAGAGGAGGACCAGGAGTTGCTCAGAACAGTACATCCTGACCAGCTGTCTCTCACCTCCTGCTGGGCAGAGGGCTCTGTTGTACCTCTTGCCCCACCCAGTGGCAGTGGTACAAGGAAGGTTCTGCGGTTGGCACCCATCCCAGGCCTGTAGTGGTCAGAGGTCCTTAGGGTCTGAGTTCCATACCAGAAAAGACAGCACAAGCTCTCTGGGCAGGGTGATAAGGAGAAAGGAACTATGGAATTTATGGGGTAGAAAGTGAAAAAGCTGGCAGGGGCCTTAGATGACATCAGAACCAATCCTAGGTGGGAAAACTGAGGCCCAGAGATGGGAGGGACTGGCAGATGGCATTAGGTGTTGGAATTGATCTCATGTCTGTCTGATGCCTTGACCATCTTAAATCAAAATGGGTCTTTAATTTTGAAAATGCCACCCGCTCCCCCAGGAAGGGTCTGTCAGCCTCCTCATTTGATCTGGAACCTCCCCAGAACTTAGCCTTTCCTCACCCAGAAGGCCCATCAGCACAGAACCCCTGCCACTCTAGCACCTGCTGCAAGCACCCTACTCTGCACCTTCCTCCACAGCAGCCCACAGAGGGGAAGGGCACGGGTGAGCAGGTGAAGGCATTTTTCAGACTGCAGGTCAGCTAGGGAGTCAGAGCTGTATCCTGGAGAATGTATCCAGTTGGGTGTAGGGGGGCTGAGCCCAAGCCTGCAGCAATAGTGAGGGGCTGATGCTAGTCACAATTTCACAGGGTGGCTCCTGAGACCCGCAGCAGGGGCAGCTCGGAGCCTGGATGCTTTGCTCCCACCATGAGGTGGAAAACGGGCAGTAATGTGTGCGGGGAGGGGTTCCCTGAAAAGTTCCTGCCTCCTTAGGTTTCAGAGCTGGCTGGGTACGCGCTTCTGGGCAGCGAGGGGCACCAGCACGCAGCGACAGGGGGTGGGGCCCGCACGGGCAGCATGCAGGCAGTGGGCAGGTGGACCTCGGCGTGCCCAGCAGCCCCCAAAGGAGGGGTGTGTGTGGAGGGCCGCGGAAAGTGTAAGCCTAGCTTTGTTAGGCATGAAAATAAATGGAGAAATAAAAAGGCACACAAACCACGTTCCAAACCTCGCCTGCCCGGCAGCCGCGCACCCCTGGGACCGACACCCGGAAGGATGCACGAACAGGCGTCCACGCATCCCGGCTGCAGCCCCGGCAGGGCCCCAGCGCCCGCCCCGCTACCTTGGTCCGAACTTGCTCTGGCTTCCAGTGCGGCCGCAGCTCCTGAATGAGGCGCAGCGCGCCAGGGAGGATGTCGTCCTGGTCCACCGATATACCGAAGTACGGGACGCCGGCGGCCCTCAGGGGGCCGGGCGGCTCCCGGTAGCTCGTGCTGGCCGCCGCCTTCTCCTCCATGCCCCATGAGCACTGCGGGCAAGGCGTGTGTCTCCTCAGGTAAAAGGACGAGCACGGCAGAGGAGCCGAAGGGGGCACAGCCATTCCCAGCAGCCCCACCCCCTCGGAGCCGCCGCGCTAGCGCTAGCGCAGGCAGGGGGGCCCCGCGAGGGAGTGGGAGTGGTAGAGGAGGGGCCAGGGGAAGTCCATGACTCAGAAGCGAGCTGCCCGCTTCGATCGCCGGCTCTCGGCCTGGAGCCCGAAGCCGACCCGGGAACGCCGGAGCCCGCCGCGATTGTGACATCACGGGCGGCGGGCCACGGGAACGCCCCCGCCCCGCCCCCGCCCCGGCCCGCGGGCCGCGGGGGAGCCCAGCCCGCCATCGCCCACAGCTGCGGCTGCGGCTACCTGGAGCGTTGAGCCGGGGGCGCCGAGCGCCCCGGGCCGGTGACGCCGGGGGCGGGGCCTCAGCAGGTCCCACCCCTACCCGGGTCCCAGCCGGGCAGCCTGGGGCTTGTTTCCTGGCTTCCGAAGCGTCAGGTCTCTGTGGCTCTCTCCTGGTAGCCTGGAACTGGGGCGGGCTCTTTCTGTGCTCCCGCCTCATCCTGGATTATAGAGATCTGGCTGTTCCCAAGACGTCGGCTTGGGTTCTCCTTCATGTACTCCTGCTCCCCGCCCCCAAGTCTCTGGACCCCTGGAAATGGCTCTGCAGGACCGGTCCCTGCTGTGTCTCACAGGTTCTTCCTTGCAGGGAGCCCCCCATGCACCCACCATACACACAGTGGATGGAAAGGGGACCTTGGGCGATGATGTCGACAGTCTGGGAGTGTGCCAGTCCAGCAGACTGGACAGTCCTCTGACAGGTCACTGAACATTCCAGGGCAGTGGGGTGTGTTTAGACACATTCTAGACCAGGACTTTGAACAAGACTGAGTTTTGGTCACTAAATAATCCTTAGAGCCTTAATCTCATCCTAGAGTCTGCAGGAGTGTGAAGTGGGCAGACCCTGAGCTGACTCTAGGGAGGACAGCTAAGGGCCTGGCCCAGCAGTAGTGCCAAAGGGGGATGTAGTGATGACTGGGAAGCAGGAAGGAAGAGGAAGGGGTGGCAGGGTGTCTGGGGCGGATTTGCTACGGAAGGAGATATGAGAAGAGGCCAGGCCACCTTTGGTCATTATCTGTCACCTCCTGAGCAGGACTCTGTGGGCTGCCAGCTCTCTTTACCACTGTTCTGTTCTGCCTCAGGGACTTTGCTGGTCAGCTATCTCTCAACTGCCCCACCTACACAGAAGGGGCTTTTTCATTTTCCTTGAGTCAGACCCCTTTGGTCTATTTGGGAACGTCGCACACAACTACCAGGCCCCTGTGATTATTGCTGCCCAGAATCCAGCTCTGCCTAGCGGAACTTCTGCAATGATGGAAGTAGTCTATTATCTGCACTATTCAATGGAGTGGCCACTAGTCACATGTAGCTAACCAGCACTCAAAATGTGGCTAGTGTGATATTTTATTTAATTTTGATTAGCTTAAATTTAAAGGTTAAACAGCCACCTGTGGCCACCATATTGGACAGTGTAGGAGATGATAAGGGAGCTCTTTCTTAAGGTCATGAAGCCCAAGATGTTGGAGAGGAAATTACTCTAAGCCTTCCTTTTGCAGTGAGGAAATAAAGGTACACAGGACAAGGGAACACGGAGAATTGATGGGAGACCAGGGTCCTGAAGCCCAGGCTCATGGTCTTGGTTCTGCAGATGGCTCCTGTCTGTGGAAGGAGCCCTGGGGTCCCATGGGACCTGTGGAGGCTACAATTCTAGAGGTACTAAGGACCACTGGTTGGGCCACTCAGTGCCTCCTGCTTTTTGGTCAAAAGCAGCTATGAAGAGGGACACTTCAGTGGCTTCAGGTATTTGCTGGTTTCTCCTTCCTTAAGCTACACACGTCATGAAGACAACCCAAGGGATAAGAGTCAAGAAGAGACTTCAGCCTGAGGGGTCCCAAGTCCACGAGCTGCAGGGGAGCACAGTGTGTGCATCCGTGTACTTGCACCTATAGTCCCATACCTGGGGTCTTACACATACTGTGTGAAGCTCTGTACTGTGACAGCACCGACTGCATATAAGGAGGGGGAAAGCCCTGAGTCCTGAAGGACCTGAGTCCAAAGAGCTGGATTCTTACTTTGATTCTTCACTACCTTCCAGTATTCTTCACTACATCATTCTTCACCAAGTAATCTTGGGCAAATGCCTTCCAGTCTCTGGGCCTCAGTTTCCCCACAGTAAGATGGAAGTATTGCCTGGATCTCAGGTGTTCTACTTTTAGGTGATGTGCCTTAGACTGCCTATGTAAATAGCCACATGCAGCAGAGGTGGGGCATGTGTGTGGATGGGAGGCAGAACCAAGGGGAGTTTCACAGGGCTCGGAAGGCAGGGTTCACTAGGCTCAGCAGCGCAGAGCCTAAGCTCAGCTGATTCCACAAGCAGGAGCACCTTTCTGACCCACAGCCCTCTGCCATAGCATTAGCCTTGGTCCCTGGGGGGCTGGAGGGGCAATGGGGCTGGCTCTCTGCAAACCTTCCACCCTCAGTTGTATAGACAGCTTCCACGTGTTGACAGGGCAGGAACCTGTGCGTGCGGCAAATGTGTAGTTGTCAATCTGTGTCACATTCCTATCTACACATGACCACACAGCTGCCTCTCCCTCTGTTCCCAACACCAGTGAACCCAGACACAACAGATTGTGAACATGAAGTCTTTATTCTGATTGTCCTCAAAGCAGGGAAGGACTGATGCAGATGGCAGGGTAAGCATCCAGCAGGAGCTTCACGCCCAGTGTCCCCATGTGAGGGCACCAGCTCAGGCAGAGGGGGTTCCAGAGAGCACTGCAGCTGTGGACCAGGGCTGGGGGCAGGGCCCTCCTGGGCAGCAGAAGATCTCAGCGGGCCAAGGCGAAACCAATGCGATTGTTATGCCGATCGAACTCTGTATAGAACTTACGCATGAAGCTGGCGCCCAGGACCCAGAGGGGCCCCGTGGGTGGTGAGACATCCAGGCCGTGGAAGGCCAGTGTGCACAGATCATTACTACTGTAGGGGTCCTGGTAGGAAGGGAGATGGTTTTCCCATGCCCAGCACATGACTATTCTCCCTTCACCTTGCCTGACCTGGGCAGCTATCTTCAGCAACATTGCCCGCCCTCCATCTCTCCCTTATCCATGCTGGGCCTCCAACACACCCTGGCTACTTTAGCCCATCATGAATCCCACGGATTCTGGGTGCAGACACTGAGCTAGCCACCAGACAGACAATGCACTGGGCACAGTGCTACCTTCAAGAGCCTACAGTCTAGCTTAGCTTCTGATCCTAGACAAGTTATTTAACTTCTCTGAGCCTATTGATTATGAAAAGAGGATAAGAATATAGAAGCGTAGGATCACTGGGAGCATTTGATGTGGAAACAGACATAAGGGACCAGCACAGAGATCACAGACATGGCTGCACGTTGGAGTCGCCTGGAGAAATGGATGCGTAGATGCCATTCCTAGAAGTTCTGATTTAAGAGGTATGGCATGTGGCCTGGGTGCTGGGATTTTTATAAGTTCTCCAGGTGACACAGCCAAATTGAGCATCACTGGCTTAATTGGTAATCTGTGCATTATATCTTGTCCCCGTTCAAGCACCCCTGCCACCATGGGGCCAACTCCAGCCTCACCTGTAATACGTAGTCCACACTGGTGAGTGTGTAGGCTCTGCCTCCCAGGTGGAAGGAGATGTCAGGGAGTGCGGGTACTTGGTTACAGTTCACGACATACTGGGGTGGGGGATAAAGGGAAGCTTTTGGAGTGTGGAATACCTCTCCACAGACAAAGAGCTCTGTGCTATGGCCAGCAGCCAGAGAGGGCTGGGTACAAGGTCCTCCCTCTGTCAGGGACCAGCCATAGGTGAAGACTGTGAGGGGCAGCAGGGGAAGGCCTGAAATGGCCTTGCTGGGAACTTGATGCTGTCTGGGGGAACCAGTGGTGCTACCCCCATTCCCAGCCTCCCCCCTTGGCTTCTTACTTCATTCATGCTCAGTTCCTGGGCCCCCAGGGCCTTCATAAGCAGCCTCAGGGAGCTGGTGGGTCCCGAGATGTAGGATGCACCCGTGTCCACCACCGCCATACAGCCATCCTCGCAGAGCAAGGTGGTTGACCTCACAGACACCCTGGGAGAGGTCAAAGTCAGACAGACAGATGGAGGCTGATGGGGCATCTCCTGGCTGCAAGCCTTTCGTGAGTTGGGGAGGTGGTTAGAGGCCATGTGGGGCAGCCAGTGATGCATTGAAGGAGGGGTGAGGTGGTGCGTAGAGAAGGAAGGTGCTGTCCTTTCCTTCAGCCTGTGGCTTAGAGACCCTCTGCCACCCTTCCACCGGCCCCCTCCCCCTCTGTTCTTCATATCTCGTGTTCCCCAGCCTGGACAGAGCAGGTGGAAGGCAAATGGTGGCCACGCCTTAAGAAGCAGCTGCATGTGGAGAGAGGGTGGGACCGTAACTCTGTTCCCACCCACCCACCCACCCCCAGTGGCAGCAGCATTTTGGGTGATTGGGGAGGGTTTGAGGATTCCTGACCCTTTCATTTTGATCTGCCAAGAGCCAGTCTTGCTGATGCTCACGTAGTGGAAATTCCCTTGGTAATACTGGGGGTCGCTGCCTCCAAGCACAATCTCTCCCCCTAGCAAGTGGGAATTCCTAAAGGAAAGATCAGGAATTTGGAGACCCACAACCTCCAAGACACAGCAACTCAAGCAACAAGGAAAATCTGGGCAAGGGTGCAGGGTGGGGCAGAGGAAGGTGGGACAGTGGCCA